TTGATAAACCCAAACACCCAAGCTTTTGGGATAAGAACTCACTATTTGACAAAAATCTGCTGGGAAAACAATAGGACACAAACTAGGCATAGACCAACATCACACACCAAATACCAAGATAAGGTCAAAATGGGTACATGATTTAGACATAAAGGGTGACAACACGAGCAAATTTGAAGAGCAAGAAATAGTCTACCTGCCAGATCTATGAGGAGGGGAAGAATTCATGACCAAACAAGAGACAGAGAGCATTACAAAATGTAAAATAGATAATTTTGTTTATATTAAATTAAAAAGCTTTTGTACGAACAAAAACAATGCAATCAAGATTAGGAAGAAAGCAGAAAGCCAAGAAACAATCTTTATAGCAAGCATCTCTGACAAAGGCCTCATTTCTCAAATATATAGAGAAGTGAGTAAAATTTGTAAAAATACAAGCTATCCATGTCCAGATAAAGAACTGGTGGATTCTGAAGGAAGAGAGAAGCTTATTTTATTTTTTTTTTTCTTGTGTTTTTTTTCCCCTTTAGAATTGTTTCTTCTTTCAGAAATGTGACTAATATGGAAGTATTTTTACATGACAGCACATGTATAAACTATATCAAACTGCCTACCATTTTCAGAAGAGGTAAGGGGAGGAAGGGAGAGAAAAATTTGGAACTCAAAATCTTGTAAAAATGAATGCTAAAAATTTTCTTGACATGTAACTAGGTAAAAAAACAAAGCACTGTTAAAGTTAAAGATGTTTTTTAAAAAATCATCACAAAAGGAAAAATGCTAAACAAAGATGTTAAAAATACATAGTTTTTCAAAATTAAGTCATAAAAATATACTGAAAGAAAAATTCCCTTATCAGTCAATAGTGGGTTACATTTTATTGATAAAATGTATCTCATAATTGTTCTAATAGAAAAGAGAACGCCCTTCTGAGAAAGGCTGTGTATTTTTCTCCCCAGATATTATCCTTCAATTTTAAGGATAAAACCTAGGCTGGCTAATCCAAAGGCAACTGGGTATAAAAAGTAATGGAATAAACTATGTAACTCCCTGAGGCCTTTGCCAATACTGTGAATACATGTGATACGTAGTGAAGTAGTTACTGGGTGGTAATAACTGATGATAGCTTAATCCACTGAATACACATCTGACTATGTCTGCATTCCAAGGAGCAGCCCACCTAAGTATAGTGAAGTGCAGCATCAGGAATTCGGTCCCTTGGTGATTAAATCTTTGGTCTACACAGCCCATGAAACAAGTTAAAATATGAAATGGCCGTCAGTTGTGCAAAGCCTCCTGTTTCTGCAATAACAGTGTCAAAATGGAGTAAAATGTGGTTAGAAGATGCTAAGTATTACAAGTTTTGGAATGTCACCATTAACCTACTCATTTCTACAATTCTGTCCATCAATAGTATAGACATACTACTGGAGAAACTGAATCATATCAATCTTATTTCTACTATAAATGAAATAAAAAGCATAACAAATCAAACTGATCACATCTGAAAAGAAAGAAATGACTTCTTGCTGATTTGGGAGTCTGTATATTCAGATCACTGAGATATGGCATGCAGTGAAAACAATTCCAATTTGAGCTATTTTAAAATGGGAAATGAATGGAGGGAAGTATAATGCTGGTTACAATTTCTATAACAAGCAGACCAAAAGAACCTAAAAAGTGCCTTAACCTGGATACTTAATCTATTTACCAGGTTCGATATGGAAAAAAAAGACATAGAAAGGGGAAAGTCTGCTGACACTGCTTATGACAATGCCACATAGAAATTTAACTGATACAAATTAATTGTCAAAATGAAGAGACCAAAAATTGCCTAAAAACTTCTTTAGTTAGAAAATATTTAACTTACTTGCCAAGCAGAAAGTTATGGCAGCCAAGGGTAACAGAGATTTAGATTGTAAACTCATTTGCAGAAACTCATAGAAAAGAATGGTGGAATATTATAAGCAGCATCGCCTCATAAGACAGCAGGAAGCAGTGTTGGGAAAAATAATTTAAAGAAATCATGGTGAGAGAACCAACTAAGCAAAATTATCCTCAGGGTATTTAAGGACAAAACTGAGACTACAATAAACAAACGAAATATGGAAAATATCTGTAGGTTTTTCATAACGATCTTTTCAGCATCAAGGACAAAGGAACCATCATCATATCTGGTCCCCAACATCAGTCCTGGATGGTGAATTCTATCACAGAGGTGGAGGAAACAGCAATAAAGAATAAAAATGGGCAAAGCAGCTAACCTCTTATGCTATTGATATAATTTTGAGGGAGCTGAGAAATCTTTAAGCTATCTGAAGGAGGGGAAAAAACTAAAGAGATGGAAATATAAGAAAAGCAACCAAAAGAAGATAAAAAACTACTTACCTATGTGTCTACCTCTCCAACTTCAGAAAATCTTTGTGAGAATAATCTATACATGCATTGAGAGTATGCTGCATCACAAAGGAACAAGCAGGTTTTTCTAAGCAAAATTCCACAGTGGACAATTTACCACACAATTGATTGAAAGATGTAAAGCACACAAGATCTTATCGTGCTTAACTGTTTTTAGGCTGTAAGAAAATTACTTGATTTGGTAACACAACAGGCCACTTTAAAAACTCTCCTCTACAAAGGTGTGTCTCATATGTATTTCAAACTCTTCTTGAATTTATTACGGCACAACCATGTGTATGTACATACATACACACATATAATAACAGATACAATCATTTTTGATGGCTGTGACTATTAATATGAAGCAAGATGTAAAAAGGGACACGTGCTTGGAAAGGTTGGTGACGTGGTGGAAATCTAGCAGAGTCCAAGACGAAGAGTGATTTCCCATCCAGCACAGGATCACAGAACTAGAGCTGAAAGGGACCGTGGAAGAGACTTAGTCTGACCACCTTCATTTTAACAACAAGGAAATTGAGAGCCAAGAAAATAAAATGATTTACCCAAGCTCACACAAGTAATAAACATCAGAGGTAGTTTGAACACAGTGTCTTTTCCACACTGCTCCTGGTGCTCCTGTTTTTGTATGACATTATGCTAATTATATTAATTCCAACAACACTGTAGCACTTTCTAAATGACATACATAAGTACTCTTCCCTAACTACCCATACAGGAAAAAAAAAATAAGGGAACAAGGATGTTTATTTTAAAGATTATGATATACATCTGGAGGTACAAACTATAAAGCTCATTCATTAATCTGTTCAAGATCGATCTATCTATCTATCTTTCTATCTCTCTATCTATCTGCTATTAAAGGGAAGGAAAGGGAGAGAAGACTAGCTATGTTGGGGAAATGCCAAATTTCTTTGAATGACCCCAAGTGCCTCTTTAAAATAAAGACTTTTAAAATGTCAATATTCTTAGTTTCTAAAGTATTGAAATTAAAAATCACCCAAAGGGCATGGTAGACAGGACAGGGAGAAAAGACATTGTAAATAAGGAGCTAAGAGGGAAAAGTAGAATAAATCATGTCACCAAAGAAATGCTTGAGCAAAAAAGATGTATTCTCTCTAGGTGAAAAAAAGAATAATCACTAGACCACCTGTGTGATTCACTGGTATCTTCATAATGAAAAGAAAGTGAGGAAGGCTTCCAGCACATTGGATGGATTTTCTTAGGTTAGCTTATGGGAGCACATGAACAAGAATCACATAGCAAAGGCAGGCATGGATGGATCATGATCTATGCTGTCGAGACAATCCCCATGTCAAATAAATGGCAGACCCATTTGAATATTTGAGGATAAGACCAAAGGGTTATCAACTGACAGATTCAGGGTGTTCTAGTCCTTTCCTCATTAAGTCAGTTTGTATGACAATCAGATGAATTTGCGTTTTTATCTTTTATAAGCGAACATCTATTCTCTATGCAAATGATGAAAATCAATGCAGATTTTGAGTCCATTATCAAATAGTATAATCACTTAATAATAATTTAATTACCAACAAAAAGAACTAGCGTCAACATCTTAAGTGCTGATTTTTTTACTTATACAAAAGTATATAGCTTAGGCACAGGTTTAAACAGATATGCTAAAAAACAACCTGTGTACTGCATTAATGAATAATATTGCATATCAGGGGCTGAGGTGGGGTGCCATCCAGCTTGAGCTAAGAATAGTTTTTACATTTTTCAGATACAGTAAAAATTTATTTTAAAGTGTAAAAAAACCATTCCTGGCTCGTGGGCTATACAAAAACTAGCTTTGGGGTCCTGTTCTTTATTACTGGCTATATCACACCCATTTCCAACTGAAGAAAATGGAGTCGCCATCAAGATTAGGAGATTGAGCCAAAATGCACAGATAGGAGAAATTTAGAATCAGAATGACAAGACATATTGTTCATTAGGGATAGGGGGAAATCGATATCAGTACTTCCATCAGGGTAGGCATCTCCACGTGGGGAAGCTACCCCAACCAAAGCAGCAACTATTTTGCAATTCATTAATAGTGGAATTAAGCTATTAGTGTGACCCTGGGCAAGTCACTTAACTCTCATTGCTTCCAAAATAAAAAAAAAAAGTCTTTGCATGTAATTATCACTTCCTCACCTATCTAATATATGGAAACATTATTCTTAAATCTCTCCAAGCATACTAAAAAAAGTTTTACTGATTTTTTGTCGAATGCAGGTTGTATGTACATTTATTCTGTGGCTTTAAAAATTAGATTTTTGGGCAAAAACACAATTTGTATTCCTAGAGGATGAGGCCAGCAGACCAAAAAGCACCACTGTATCTATTCTTATCACAGGGGAGCTTCTCTTAGATCTGTAAATAAACTCCCACATGTGGAGGACTCCATCAACTTGCCCCTTTGCCTGGGGACACTGTTCTTTCAAACAAAACAAAGGTTATGCAAGGACTAAAGCAAACACTTAAAATTTCTCTCTCTTCTTTTTGAAAAATTTGTCCACTGTGGATTTCACTATTAATCCAAAATAGAATGATTACTTTTAAAAGCCACACACACTTACAGTCCATATATCTGTGGAGCGATTTCTAGTCTGTTCAGATGCATGTAGAGTTCTATATCTTGCTTCTTCAGCAGATGGTCTTGAATCTGGTTTACTTTTGTAACAATAGCAATGGATGGGCCTAAATCCTGTGGTCTGGCAAATGGGATGGTTGTGATCACTGTATCTTTCCCCTAAGACCGAAAGCAAGAAAAAATATCACATTTTAGTATTCATTCAAATATAATTTTAGAGAATGAATATGGAATGTTGTATGTACCTGTCCTAAGTGTCCTTGATAGAAATAAGAAAAGAACAGGCGAGAGTTCATAAATTATTATCTGTAGCAAATCATATGTTAACATTAATTGAACAATGTGTAAAAAATACAAGAAACTGCTACCTTTGTCATTTGGCCTAAACAGAGTGCAGGACACAGCCAGGCAGAACTGGCTCAGATCCTGCCTCAGATATCTACTAGTTCTATAATCCTAGGTAAACTACTTTACATTGCTGAGGCTCAGTTTCCTCATCTAGATAATGGAGATAACAATCATACTTTCCTCACAGGGTTGTTGTATCAAGTGAGATAATATATTTAAAATAATTTGTAAGTGTGAAAGTGATATATGTCAGCTTAGTAATATTAACACATTTTATTAAATATTAATATTATTCGACAAAATGAAGAAATCAGTAGAGCAATGTTTAGTTAGAAAGATTCTTCTCAAAGAAAGAGTTACCTCTTGGGTATGCTTGGTTTATACAAGGTTTCCTAATACACAGAAGCACGACAATAATGATTCTCTACACTATCAAATGAGACATAAAAGAGAGAGGGATATGATCTCCAAGGGTATCTGAAAACTGTCATGTTCTGTGTGAGGAACAGCGACGAAGCCAGGGTCCCCTGAGGAGCAGGGCTTGTGGGCACTGAGTATAAAGAAAGTGCAAAAGTAGGAAATGGCCAGGTTAACGTCCGAGACTTTTGTACCTGATCCTGGAGGCAATAGAGAGCCACTGTCATTTATTGAGTAGGGACGTGACATGGTCACAGCTGCTTTTGGGGTTCATCTGGAAGCTAAACAGAAAATGGATTGGAGTGGGGAGAGATTTGAGGCAGGAAAAACAACCAGAAGGCTACTGCCACATAGGTGTGAAGCGAAGAGAGCCTGGACTAGGGTGCTGGCAATGCCAAAGGAGAGAAGCGGGCAAACACAAGGGATACTAGGTAGAATTTTTTTTCGGTGACGCAATCAGGGTTAAGTGACTTTCCCAGGGCCACATAGGTAGTAAGTGTCAAGTGTCTGAGGCCACATTTGAACTCAGGTCCTCCTGATGCCAAGGCCAGAGCTCTTTTCGCTACACCACCTAGCTGCTCCTAGATAGAATTCTTCCAAGAATGTTTTGAATGCTTTTTTATTATTGGACTTCCATCTTTTTTCATTTCTGCTTAGGCTTAGATTCGCAGGGTAGGTAAACCTGAGCTGTACCCTGAGCTCTATTTCTCTTTGGAACTCATGATTTAAACCCTTCTGTGTTTTCTAGTGGGTACAGAATAGTCTTGTGTTATTCAAATGTCTTTTAATATTTGAAGGGTCTTCCAGTCACTTGAAGGATTTGTTGTTTCTCACTGAATTGTTAAAATTAACCACTTTGTATCCAGAAGTTTGCAGTTTACAATTTGTTTGTTTTCCTGGAGGCAATCTATGTATTCTTTCAATTGGTATTTCATTTTCTATGTTCAGAAGTTCTGGGAAGCTTTATTGCATTTTGGTGTTCAGGTTTTTTGAACTGTCATGCTCTTCTGGGAGACCTGTGAATCTTAGGGTTATCTCTAACATCCCAAGTTTTACTTGAATGGAGAACTTTGTTTTTTTAACTTCTCTCCTTCACTTCTGGGCATCTGAATTCCTAATCAGTTGTCGTCTCTTGTTTTGTTGGTGAGACTTTCCATCACAGATTCAAGTTTTACTACTCTGCCAATTATTTCTTCATTGCAGACCATAAATTTTGCTCTCACAATTCTCATTTCAACCACTCACAAAAGCATGCTGTGGTTCTATGTTCTCTTCAAATTCCAGAGGGTTCTCTGTCTCATCTGAGGTTGAATCATATTCCTTTGTTTTATAGTATTCATCCACAGGTGACTGAACTCATTTGTGAGATCTGGGGATATTTCCTTCAGCTATTAATGTGTTTTTCCTGTTCTTTATTTGCTTATGCTCAATGTCTTTTAAAATTTTTCCTCCTGATATTGTGGGTAATTTCAGTCTTTTCCCCCTTATTTTCCTCTGTTGTTCACTTTCTGACTCCCTTTTCTGACTCCTTTCCTCTGACAGTGATTTCCCTGGGGGTTGAATCTCAAGCATCTAAGCCTCCTCTCACACTATGCAATTCACAGTTCATTAGCTTGGCTTTCTGCCCCAAGTGACTTTTGGATGGATAGAAATGGCACCAGATGGATGTTGGGCTCTTTATACACACACACACACACACACACACACACACACACACACACACACACACACACAAAGATTCAGAGGCTCTCCTTCTAAATTTTAAACTTTAAGAATCCAGTTTTTCTTCAGAAGGACATTACCGACAATGAGATTTCACTGACTCTCCTCTATCTTGGTCAGAACCCACACAACCTTGGCAAGGAATTTAATCTAAGGTGGTTCCGGAAGCCCATGGTGTATGTACTTGGGTGGAAACAGATCCTTTTATCTATATTGTCCAAGGCTGGGAGTGGTCTTGTATAGTTGGGGGTGGTCTGGTATAGAGATATTTTCTCTGTCCAGGGGTGACATTACCCCTTACTGGTATATAAACTGTGAGCCCACTGCCATGATTGTTTTTGGTCTAAAAAAGATGGCCAAATGACCATTCTTTTATTAATAACCTGCTGGCCTTATTAATAAAATAATTAAATTACCCAGAAACTGTGTCTCTCAAACCTTTATAAATGTCACAAGCCCATGTATCAGGACGTCTAGTGCAGCTTTGCTACCTGCAGTATGATTGGCAGAGGAAGAAGGTTCTGAATAAGGAGGAGATAGCATGGAATTTCTAATCTTTTGGGCTGCTGATGCTCTAAAGCACAGAGAAAGCTGAAGTTGCATTATCTTTGTTGGATAATTTGTTTTGGAGAGTTCTGAGAGGTCATGAGGATCAGAAAAATGTCTATTCCTCCATCTTGTTGGTTATGTGACACAGAAGTCACAAAGGTAGTAGAATTAACAGGTCTTGGTGACAGATGAGATATGTTTAGTGAGAAAGGGAAGAGTCAAGAATGACACCTGGTTTCCTAGACTGTGTGACTAGAAGGACTGTGACTCCCTTGGCAATAACAGGAACATGAGGGGGAAAGAGGAGTTCAAGTTTTGACATGATGAGTTTAAGACATGTATGGAACATCCAGTCTGAGATGTCTAATAGGCAGATAGAGAGATGAGACTAGAGGTCAGGAGAGATAGTAGGGTTGTTTAAGCAGATTTGGAAATCATCAGCATAGAGATGAAAATCTAATCCAGATGAGTTGATGAGAACACTAAGTGAAATAGTATAAAGGGAGAAGAGAAGACAGCCCAGGACAGTCTTGTGGGACACCCACAGTTAATGGATGTGATGTTTAAAGATCCAGGAAAGGAAACTAAAAAGGGAGTGATCAGACAAGTAGGAGAACTGAAGAGAGAGTAGTGTCCTGAAAACCTAAAGAGATGATTGATAGTGTCAAAGGTTTCAGAGGAGTCCTGAATCAATTTATTTAGCTAGATACAAATACTAGTTATTGCTGTTCACTCGTGTCCAACTGAAGAGGCCTAGGACTTTGGGGTGGTGGAACCCCAAGATCGCATTACCAGGCCCTGCCTGAATGAATTCAACTCAAGTCTTCTTCCAGTCAGAGGAAAAGTTTATTAGTTATAAATCGCACAGGCCAGGTGATGCCCGTAAGGATAAGCGGGCATGAGAATAGCTCAGCCTTTGGGGGCATGAGAGATTCTCAGTGTCTGAATGGGGGCCAGGGTGGATTTTTATACACTGGAGTAACTTTGGGTGGCTAGAAAAGGGGGCTGGGAAAAGGGTCTAGGTAAGAATTCTAATTGGGGAGGTCTGAATAAGCAATGGGAATAGCTAATGGGGGAATGGGAAGGCAGTTGTCAAAGGGAGATAAGGGGAGCTGATAAGGAACCTGAAAGTTTAAGTGTTTTATGGGGCCTGTAATGGAGGGAGCTAGTAAGGTCAAAAGGTGGAGGCTGAGGCTTCCAAAGGGAGATGAGGAGCTGGGGTCTGCAAACAAATGGGAGCCAGATTCCCTTTGGGGCAAGGGGAGGGGGAGATCTCTGCTTGAGCTCACCCCATCACAACTCTCCCTGACCCCATTTGGGGTTTTCATGGCGAAGAAACTGGAGTGGTTTGATGTTTCCTTCTCCAGCTCATTTTAAGATTTGGAAACTGAGGTAAACAGAGTTAAGTGACCTGACCAGGGTCACAGAGCTAGTGTCCAAGGCCAGATTTGAGCTCAGACGTTTTCTTGACTCCAGGCCTGGAGCTCTACTCACTGCACCACTTAGCTGCCCCCAAGCAGTCGTTGTTCAGTCATTTCACTCTGATCTGACTCTTCGTGACCCCATTCGAAGTTTTCTTGGCAGAGTTACTGGAGTAGTTTGCCATTTCCTTCTCCAGCTCATTTTACAGATGAGGAAACTGAGGCAAATTTAGGTTAAGTGACTTGCCCATGGTCACACAGCTAGAAGTATCTGAGGCTGGATATGGACTCAGGAAGATGAGTCTTCCTGACTCCAGGCCTGCAGCTCCACCCACTGCACTACTCCCTGGTTGAAAAGAGTAGTGCTTTATTTCTTGTTGCTGGTACAGATAAACCCAAATTCAGAATTGTAAAGAAATTAAGACCGTAGACAAAGAGGCTAATGATCATAATTCATACAATGGCTTCTGTGTTTCCTTAAACCAATTAAATAGCCATTAAAGATGCTCATCTTGGTGCCAAATGTCTATAGGGTATTCCAACCCTTTAGTTCACTTCCTCTATATTTACCATTACCACTGTTCTCATTTTCCTTTGTCTCTATCTTTTGGTCTCCACAGACAGCAAAGTTTTTGAAAAAGATAAAGTCATTTACAAATACAAATTTTTAACGCTATTACTAATCCTATGGTGAAGACCTTC